ACTAAAACCGGTGTACAGCCACTTATGCTGTCTTCTGGAAATCTGATTTTTCTGGAATTAAGACACTGGTTTTTTTTATCAAAATTTATTCTTTGCTTCAAAGTTTCTATAGTATCTTCATAAGGCTCTCGATGGCACAGCCCTTGGTTTGTAGAAATGCACTTTTATTTTCTATCAAACGTTCCTTCGTCTTCCTGTTTTGCATCTGTTTTTTACGATATGTTTTGCAGACGACTTACCAACCAGTGCAGCGTATGCTTATAAGAATTGTCTTCTTTGTCTTTTTATGTGCAGAATGTGCGTCATGACTTTGAAATCGACCTGTCAGCGACTTAGATGATATATATAGTCACATTGCATGTACAGTTGGAAATGACAGAATTAGAACGAGTTTTAAAATTTAAAAGGCTTTTCTGGTAAAAGCTCAGTACAATAGCTAACAAAATCCAAAAGTTGGAGTAGATTTTGAATGCCTTACAGTTATATCTTACTGGGTCGATTGTTATGAAAGGATTTTTTCTGGGGTTTCTTACACCTTCTGGTTTAGGTATATAGTATGGTATCACTGTTATTTTCAATTTATTCCAGTTGTTGTCTTATCTGACAACAGTGTTTTTCTTTTAGAAGTATTTTGTTAGCTCTCGCCTTCCTTGAAATTCCAAGCAGCGCAGTAACAGAAGGCTAAGGAATGATTATTGTCTTGAACCCTCGTGTGTTAATTAAAGCGCGCAATTTTAAGAATGCACAAAATGCTTGTCGTTATTCTTTGCTTCCGCATTTTTCTGTATGTTATTTAACATGAAAAATCGTCGGTCATATTTTGAATGTCATAAGAAAGTGGCCAGTTGGTAGCCCGTCCTTATTAATCATATTTTATTTTGCAGATGTTCGGTACGTCAGGTACGTTTGGAAACAGACCCACAGGGCTTTTTGGTTCAACGCCAACAACTACTCAGAATCAAATGAATGCACTTGAAGTCGGTGTCTTCCTGTCTTATTGGTCGCTTTTTCAGCACCCCTTTTTTTAAATTTTTCCAAGAATAGTATTGGTCAGTTTGCTAAAAAGAATTTTGTATTTCCTTTTTGGTATCATATAAATACCGCCTCAGAGTTAACAGTTGCAGCTGATTACAATTTAAAACTTCAGATTTTGCTTTTTTTGTACAGGTTCCATCGCCCCCAGATGATACTGTTCAAGTTTTAAAATTCAACCCTCCAATAACAGGACGGCCTTTTCTGTTATCATCTGGTAGTTGGGATAGTGTTGTTAGAGTTTGGCAAGTCAATGAAAATGGTCAATGCGAACCGAAAGCCCAACAAACTGTAGGCGGCCCAGTATTGAGCTTAGAATGGTTTGAAGTAAGTAGTTTGTTTTTTATATCATTTAATTGTTTTTGCTGTGAGATAATAATTTTTTCACCTTTTTAACTTTTTTTTCAGTGGGTGTAGGGTAGTTTCGAACTGGTTTCTCAGTAACTGTTACATTGTTCTTATTTCTTGTGTAGTTTGAATCCATATGCATTTAGGATGGTACGAAATTGTTTATTGGCAGTGCGGATCAGAAAGTTTATTGTTGGGACTTGGAATCTAACCAAGTTTTAGTTTGTGGAACGGTATTACTGTCAAGTTCATTACGCTTTTTTACCATCGCTTTTCGTTTTGTATCGCAATTTTAGT